GCCTTTTCAGGCACTCTCTGCAGTGCGTGTTACTTCATGCCTTCTGTGAGTAATTCAAGGGGTAGTTGTCCTGTTTAGTGCAATCACTAACGTGGATGAAATGATAACTACTTATCAGTGGTAAAGCAATCGCGGAAGCCCCTTTCGCGTTCCACGTTCGCGATAAATAGCTGGTTACCAAACAGCATCTGAGGATAAGTCTCAAAGACCACGTAAGTTACTTTAAAGCTTCTCCGTCGTCATTGGCATTTATTTTGAATCAGTAATTAAGAGATAAGAAAGGGATACGGATGGGAGTTTATTGTCGTACCCATCTAATGCAAATAACACTATTCTGATAGTATGATTGATTTATTTGCATTCCCGGGCCTTGCGGATATCCGCGTGGAGAGGATCTAAATTGCGAAATAGGCCACTGTACACTATAAAAAACCGTTTTGTGGTCGAGTGAAAAACCTTTCACTTACGAGATATGCTCGTGGGGTCCAAATTCTTACAGTCCATTCAAGTTCCACCATATTTGAATCGATGTGCAGACATTCTTCCATACTCTCAAATGAATCCAGACCTAAAAGTGAGCAACAGTCGGCTAATTTAGAAAATCCGTACGTCTTAGTAAAGGTTATATGACTACACCGAACGCTTGCTGTCTCCAATTCTTTTCGCAAAGGAAGTCTAAATTTACCTGGCCAAAAGTATCGGTAGGATACAAGGTCGAGGTGCTTAGAGTCTTCAGAGATGCACGTGTAGATCGCAATCTTTTTTTCTCCCGGCTTCACTTCAAATTTCAAAACTGAGTACTCCTCCTCCTCTTCTAAAACTTAATATCAAGTACCACACGATCATGGAAATATACCACTTATAACGGTATGAAACGTAAAAATATTTTTGTCATTAAAAAAAACTAACCACAGGGAGTCGAGACCCCACAAAGAACGTCCTCATTTGAATAACATCTGAACTGCAATGAAGGCGTTTCTATTTAGATTGTTGCATGGAATGAGCTGAATACATCGATGCGATGTGAACCAATAGGGCACAAATTAGTCCGCTTGTGAACAAAAACTGCAATGAAAACCGTATCAAGTCATATTATTTTCATTTTCTTATGCCATTTATGTATGTTTTTCGATAATAATTTCTCGCACAGAGTGTAATAGTAACAAAACGTTGATAAAAAAATTAAAAGCAACAATATTCCTTAAGACCAACACCCATTTGGAATGATTACAGGCATCATGGGACATTTATACTCAGGTGCTATGAATTGATCGTGGAATACGAAATGTCTTCGGCAAGGCTGAAAATTATTGGGAATCGCTTAAAAGTCTAAGAGCAAACGTGTCTTTTGTGGCAATCTGATCGTCAGATGGACTTACATGGGCAGCATCTATTCCCGAAGACAGATTT